GAACCATTTAAAAATAAAGGGATCAAATGTATTTTTATAGATTAATAGAGGGACAATTATAAATTACAAACTACCATCTTTTTTTTTTAACCTTTTAGATATATAAATATTAATGAAATATATGTGATTATATAGTAGTTTTTTAAACACATAAAATGAGTATTAATATTAGTATTGTTTTACGTTATATTAATATTATTCTATTATATTAGGTTAATATTGATGAAATAGTAATATTCCAATGATAGTAATTATTAATATATGTTATTAACGTACAAATTTAATCATTTTTATTTTGATAGTATTTTCAATGTTTTTAGTATTAATCAAATGTTAAGATAAAGTGCTATATAATTTTTCATTTTTCATAAAATTTTAAATTTTAAAAGAAAATTTACTAAATTGAACACTACCATTGAATATTTAAATTTTTAAATTTTGTAGATTGTAATTTGTATTTTTTTTAAATTGTAATATGAAAAAATTGTAGGCTAAAATTAGTTTTTTTCCCTAAATTTAGCCCTTTTATGTTTAAATTATTCAAAACTATAATGACGTCATTTTAACTCAAATATAAAAGAAAATTAAGGGATCCCCATTTTAAAACTTGGATTAAATAGAAATTAAAAAACTAGTGTAATCAATGTTCATTTTTAAATTTTTTATTAATGGTTTTTAGCTACAAAAATTAATAAATGATTTTTTAATATAATTGATTGTATGAAATTTTCATTTTTAATTGTTTCCTATTTTTACTTAATTTTCTTCTATTTCTTTTAAATAAAAAATATTTATTCGTACTTTGATTTATCTTTATTTTTCATGAAATTTATTACCTGATTTGATGAAACTAATTTGAACTGTATTAGACTCTGTGTGCATCATTTTCTCGCTAAATTTAGTTTGAACTCAACCTAATCATGAATAATAGATTAATTTGAGTAATGAGTAAAATTTTAAAAAATATTATTTTCTTTTATCAATGCATTTTTTTCTTTAGTTACTAATGTATTTTAAAATTCTAAATATATATATATATATATATATATATATATATATATATAGAGAGAGAGAGAGAGAGAGAGAGAGAGAGAGAAAGAGAGAGAGAGAGAGAGATATTATAAAAGAAGAAATTAGTGAAAAAGTTAAAGGTCCTGCAGACTGTTTGGAGAAGAAGACTAGAATAAATGTGATTATTTTTAATTTTTATACAATATATACAAAAAATTAATTAAAATTAAATATATATTATATTAATAAATTAATTAAAGTGAATTTATGAGTTTAATACCAAAGTTCAATATCTAAAAATAATGTGTTATACACCTGGAAATATGGTTGAAACATATCTGCAGTGAGCCATTAGCTGTTTCAATCAAACTTCAGATACATTAAAACAACAATAAAGTCTATAAAAAAAGTCCATGTTAACGTCATTATTTTATTAGTATCATGTTAAACTTCAGTTGTATACGTTTCTACAACTGTACTTTACTAAAAATTGTTTAATTGTTCTTACCATGCATACCTTATTAAAATTAATCACTCCCATTTTCGGTTTCCATAGGTTAGGTATAGTTAGCTAATGAGAAACCTTCTAAATCCCCCTTACACCCCAAGTCTTAACAAAATAGAAAACAAAAAAACAATTTCTTCTGTCAGGACTTTTGCCATTTTTTTTAATACTTTGTCCTCTCAAAAGTAATAACACGATAAACTATAAATTTAGAGAATTATATTTATACAAAACAAACGTATTATATAAGATAAACTTATTATTAACATTCTGAACATCTTTTGTGGCTTACTCTTAATTTAAATGATCCAGTTCCCATATATGCAGCCGAGAGTATGTAAGTGAGGGAGAATGATTAGAGACTTTTCAGTGAAACGTACTCCAGGAGAGTTGGTAGATAAGAGTGGTCTTTATTTTGATATTAAGAGAGAGAGAGAGAGAGAGGATGAATAATGTGACAAAAAATATATATAGTCCCTGGATGGTTGCAGATATGCTTTGGTTACATGCTAAATAAAACAGATGTTGTAGTCTGGATTTTGATATTAAAAGATGAATGGAAGTAGGGAAAAAGAAGAGGAGGAGGGGGAGAGAGAGAGAGAATGAAAGGGAGAGTGGGGGACCAAGGAGATATGGAAAATGATATATATAGCAGACAATAAACACAGTACTTTTTAGACCAGTGATTCTTAATTATTTGTTTTGTCTATTTTGTCATACGAATTTCGATGTAATACATAGGAGATTAGTTAAATAAGGTCTTCAAAGTTTCCGAGATTTATTGGGGATTGTCCTATATTCGATGCGTTCAAACGGCTGCGTAGGTTACTGTTTTATTTCATAAACTACTTAATCATGCTTCTACATTACTGTATACGTGTTATCGCTTCATTTGATATACACAATAAACAATTAGAATGAGAATATGATGGATAAAGTGGATAAAATGGTTAATTATCCACTTGGTTTCAGGATCATTCCTTTCACATACCAAGTACAAATAAATAATCTTCTACTCTCTCTCTCTTTAATTTTTTGACTAACGATCTTTCAATATCTTGCCTATGCACAACTCATGGACACCTACTTTTGTTTGCCACTGTTTTATGATTTTGTTCTATACGACGTGATCTTTACATTCTACATGTGCAAGACTAATCAATCATGTTTGGATGATGTTGATTTTACAACAGCTGCAACGTGCTTCTCAGTGTGGACTTTCATCGTACACAAGTAAACTTCTTCCAACACATTTCTAATTCATTACTTCGCCTCAAATCGTATTATGCTATAATAGGACATAATTGGTACTTTGAGATCAAAATTTGTTTTTATTTTTAAATTTTAAAAAGAATTTAAATAAAATGTTTAACCGGACCCAAAACGACTTTTTATATATAATTATGTGAGATAGTTATATATAAAAATAACATTAACTTTAAGTCAAAATCTTAAAAAATTAAGATTGAAGAATTTTCTTTCCTGACATTAATATTGAACTTACTTATTTGTATATAAAGTGAAATTCTTACTTTTATATATATAGTCTAAAAATATCTCTTTAACATTCATGTTTTTCTTCGAATGTCCTACACTAATATTATTAAAATTAGTGTGAATTAGAGTCTCATATTTTGATGTATATATTTATAACATGATTTGGTTTGTTTCTTAATTATCACCATCCAATTATCTCCTCATAAGTTCAATTTCCATGCATATCAACTTAATCCCACATAATTGATTTATAAAATAAGTTTATATATATTTATATATGTATTATAAAATATATTGTGAGATATTTAAGCTATATTTTTGTTCATGTATTTTTGCAAAACCAATATAATTTATCCTAGTTGACAATAACTTGATATAATATAAATTCTTGGAAGTGTTGTTGAAATATAAACAATGCATGATAAACCTTGATCTCTAGTTTTTCAATAATAGAAAGATTAATGCTTAGCGAGGTCTCTGATAGACAAAAACATCAAAGTCAAGTTAACAACTTTTTTCTACATTTTATGGTTGAACAGGAGATGGTAACCTTTTTACTAATTAAATAGACCTCAAATAAGCAAGGACCAGATCTACTTCACAAGGAGAGTTTGCAATGGTAAAAATTTGATGTCATCAGAATCCTCTAACCATCACCAAAAATCCACAGAAATACTTCCAATCCTATTCCGTCAATGCCTGATTAAACATCCCTGTTCTGAAAACTTTGGGAAACCAAATCTTGAAGTTAGAAATATAAATTAGATAATTTTATTATCTTATCAAGATATATATCGAAGTTTAACTAAAAGATTAATGTTTTACTGGAGATTATAGGATGATTTGACTGATACAACTTTCTTACCTGATGGACTAAATCCATATTGACGTATTGTTAAAAAATATAAAAGAGTGAGAAGTGGAAGAGTACTAAAAGAGGGAATTACAAAATCCTTCAATTTGAAGAATTAGGAATGTCACGTAAAACTAATCAAGGAAGGAAAATCACCTGAAGAAAAATTGGAATACAAGAAACTGCAAATTATGGGAACATTGTGGGTATAAATAACTTGGTATTTGTGCCGTGTTAACTGTGTCAATTAATAACCCCATCCAAGGTACCTGGGCAAGCATATGAATGGGGTGTTATTTTAGCAAGATTTTCACAGCATGGCAGTGAAAAAGGTAAAGAAATTAGGGATATAGGAGATTCCGATGGATGGGGCAGAAAAGAAGAGGGGGTGGTGATGAAAAAATGATTTGTTCAATCATGTGATGACCCGTGAGAGAGTGAGCCAAAAGCTTAACTGCCTCAAATACCTCCCACAGTGCCCACCATTAAATGACAAAATCCCAACTCCCATGTACAAACAATTTGCTGGCCGGCTGCTTCACGTGCCTCCAAAATCCAACACGAGCAGTGCTCCTACGGCTACAGGTGCCTCCCTCTTATATTACACTCCCTCCACCTCTCTCATCCTCTCTCTATCTCTTTCCAAAAAAAACCCAAAATCAGAAAAGAAAAAAAATAAATAACGGGTAATCATCTCACAAGAGTGGAGTGGGATTAGCACCTTTTGTAGCCATGAAAGTGATGTTCTCAGCACTACTCCTTTTGCCATCTGAAAAAGCCTGAACTTCCCCTAGAAGGGTTTCTTTTGCCCAATTTGACTTCAAATATGTTTTCTCGGGGCGAGAGTTTCCCCTCTACCGATCAGTCTCTGTTGGGAAGAACGATAATATAATCCCCCACGAAAAAGCTGAACTGTCTATTTTGTGTGCAGAATTCTCCCAAACTCTACTGCCAATTTTCACCCACAACTTGGATCGCTTCCCAATGGCAAAGGTACCCAGTACTAGTCAGGTCACTTTCCCTTTTCCCCTCTTCTCTCGTTTATTCTCCTTTCCCCTCTGTCCCCAACTTTCTTCTTCTCTCTTTTAATTCATTCCATTCTCCCTCCTCACACCCCATACACTCAAACTGTCCATGACGCAATTCACACCCCCACTACCTCCTTTCCACCAAATCGCACCCCTCCCAAACCCTACCATGAACAAAAACCAAATTCCTAGGACTAGGCCCTGGCCTGCAGGTTTCCCTACCTCCAAGGCTTTAACAAATTTCGGCGACGCTAACTGCATGGAACAGTTACTTGTTCACTGTGCCAACGCTATTCAAACCAACGACGTAACCCTCGCTCAGCAAATCCTTTGGGTTCTTAACAACATAGCACCCCCTGACGGTGACTCCAACCAACGTCTTGCCTCCTGCTTCCTCCGTGCCCTCACCGCACGTGCTGCCCAAACCGGTACCTGCAAGATGCTCGTCGCTGTAGCAGATCACGCCTGCACCAACCTCTCCATAGACACCCATAAATTCTCCGTCATGGAGCTTGCCAACTTCGTCGACCTAACCCCCTGGCACCGCTTCGGTTTCACTGCTGCTAACGCAGCCGTCCTCGAAGCCACTGATGGTTTCTCCGTCATCCACATCGTGGACCTAAGTCTCACGCACTGCATGCAGATTCCCACACTCATCGATGCCATCGCCAGCCGCCACGAGGTCCCTCCGCTCATCAAACTCACAGTGGCTGATGCCACCTCTAGAGACATCCCTCCTATGCTCGACCTCTCCTACGACGAACTCGGGGCCAAGTTGGTCAATTTCGCAAGGTCCAGAAATATCATCATGGAATTCAGAGCGGTTTCTTCCACTTATCAAGACGGGTTTGCGGGTTTGATCGAACAGTTAAGAGTGCAACAACAGCATTTTGTTTACTCGGCAGAACCTCGTCCCAGTGAGGCTTTGGTCATCAACTGTCACATGATGCTTCACTACATCCCTGATGAAACCCTACACGCGATTCCTGAAACTGACTTAACCTCTTTTCTTTATGATTCTTCTTCTTGTTCTGTTGGTGCTTCTTCTGTCGTTAGCATTACTTCCACTTCCTCGCTGCGATCGTTGTTTCTTAAATCCCTGCGGGGCTTAGACCCAACTGTTGTAATCTTGGTAGATGAAGATGCGGATTTGACATCCAATAACTTGGTTTGCAGGCTAAGATCTGCATTTAACTACCTATGGATACCTTACGACACTGTGGATACGTTCCTTCCACGAGGGAGTAAGCAAAGGCAGTGGTACGAAGCAGACATTTGCTGGAAGATTGAGAACGTGATAGCGCATGAAGGGGTTCAGAGAGTGGAGAGGGTTGAGCCTAAGAACAGGTGGGAGCAGCGAATGAAGAACGCGAACTTTCAAGGGGTGAATTTCAGTGAGGAGTCTATTGCGGAGGTGAAGGGCATGCTGGATGAACATGCTGCCGGGTGGGGATTGAAGAAGGAAGATGAGCACATTGTGCTCACTTGGAAAGGACACAATGTCGTCTTTGCCTCTGCTTGGTTACCTGCTTGAACATCATTCTTTATCGACATTGATTATTTTCCTATTTTAGTCTTTCTTAGTAACTTTCTTAAATAGTTACATTGTACTTGGAAGGTAAATAAGTAGATCAGAAGTTATTTGTAAGTCTTTTGTCATGTTTTTAAATAGAATCAATGCAGGTTTTTCATATTTCCATTTCAGCTTTTACACCACCTTTATCTTTTTCTTAATTTATCTCTCTTTCAAAGTATATATACACCTTCAACCAGTTTAGACATACTTGAGATTCTAAACATTTTGATGTAAATGTTAATGATAGTTTAATTATCTCCTAGTGACCAATAGTAATTGACTAGTTGTTAGCCATGTACAGGTGATAAATCTCATGAGCAGAAGAAATATTTCTTTGTGTCTTGGATTTGAGACAATCATATATAAAACAAAAGCACTACAAGCCATTCATTTAAAAAAAATATATTTTTGTTGAACTTTTCCTTAGATTCTGATATCAGGAATGAAAAAAAAAGAGTTATTGAAAAAAAAACTCAATTAAAAAAAGATAGTCTTGTTAAATGAAATAAAATAAATTAAAATTTACTTATATAATTTTTTATTTTTTTAAGTTCAAGATCCGTGGAATAATTTTTCGTATTCAGGATTTAGAAAATGAAAAGTAAAGTTTACTTTTTTTTTCAATATTAAAAAAAAAATCTTTAAACTGATGAATTATATCCAAAATATTTAAATTGGTGAAGAATCATGGATGCGTGCTAAAAAAAATATCAAATGTCGTATGTTATCTGAAGGACATTACAAAGTGTTTCAATGGCAGTGGCAGAGCTACACTGCAACATCAGAAAATACTTGTGGTTTGGTTGGAAATGAACCATTGCTATTGGACATGCAAAAGCTTACCTCAATTACTAAAAGTTAGATTACGCAATTTTGGTGGATTATAATAGAACATGATATTTAAACATTCGTCCCATGATCATAACTGTACATATATTTTCATTTTAAAAAAATAGTTTTGATTAAACTAATATCAACACTATTAAAAAAATGTTTGTAAAACTACAGTACTTCAAGTGTAAATGTAAAAAGAATTCCACTTCATACATGAAGAGAGTGCTTTAGATGGATATTTAATTTCTCTATTTAATTTTCAAATTGACATTTTTTTTATCCGCAAGAGACATAATAGATTCATAAGAAACAACATGAGTACTTTTCTCCACAATTTGAAGTTAAAGGTTATTCAATATAAATACCTTATAATTAATTTACAAATTAGAAAATAACTAACAAAATAATTTGTATTCAAATTTTGATTCGTAAATTTATCTTTATTGGATATGATATTCAATTTTGTTATATGAAATGTTTTTTATTAATATTATAATAAAATTCAGACTTATCAGATTAAAATTCATCCATCAGATAAAACAAATATATTTTTTATTTTTATATTTTAATTATATTAGGATGAAATAAATATTTAAAAATATTAATAATTTTTTATGAATTAATATCTTTCCTACTTGACTCTTTACTTCAAAATGTAAGTCAAATTTTTAATAATTTTTCTTAATAAATATGAATAATGTTTTCATTTATTTATTTATTTGGATTGGTAGAAGTTGTACTTTGCATAGTGAATCACTCCTTTTATTATAAAATGATTTTCAATTAAGACTCTGATGGCTACAGTACTTGAGTACTAATATTCTCTACTCTTAGTTTATCTGTTTGCATGTATACTTTTACGGACTAGACAACTTCTTGGTTTTGAAGCACTCGTTCATTTGATTTTATTCTTGTTTATTCTCAATAATGCAATATATATTAATATATCTCTTTCTTTGCTTAATATGAACTTGTTGTCGTTATGGGTGGCTTCTATATATAATTATCTATTGACAATAATTTCTCTTTAATCACATTTTTGTTCATACATGTTTAATTTCATTTTGCATTTTAATGTTCTTAATACATGATTACAGTTATATGTTTGTAGTCAACTACTATATGGTAAGATTGCTTCTGATAACGTTGACATACTCCATGCTTTTCAAGCTTAATAAAAGCTTTTTAATCAAATATTTTCCTTAAAATAGTTACATCTCTCAAAACAAATTATTAGTGTATTAAACTTAGAAGACTTACATTTGTTTGCTTAGGTTTTCTAATTGACACTCTAGGAAAGATTTGTCTTAACAGATCATATATTTAATGGAATGTAATCATTTTGATTTTAGTTCTGGAATATTAAAGTTGTAAGACTGAAAGTTATTTTAGTTTTCAAATTTTATAGTTTAGGAACTAAAATTATTTCCGTAACTTTGAAGTTTTTTTTTTTTTTTTTTTACTTTGAGAAAGTAAAATTAAAATTATTCTAAATTTATTTCAAGGGACACATAACTTAAAGAAAATAGTTACCAAAATGTTAAAATAAAAATAATTAAAATATTTTAAAAAACAATAAAAAAATATTTATGATAAAATTAAAATTTAAAATAATATATATATATATATATATATATATATATATATATATATATAATTCTATACTAAAAATCCGAATCCATATTTTGTTAATAGTATAAATATTCAACTGTTTAATTCCACAAGTTGTACATTGGAACCATGGTTTTCTACTAGCTATTTTATTTTATGTTATGAATGAACTATTTAGAAGAAAAGAAAAATTTGTTGGATCTTTTCCTTTGAAGTGATTAGTTTGCTAATGTAATAACAAAAATTAAGAATACTTTTAATGATGACTGAAAATTACAAAATTATTGTATTTCCTCATTTTGGATAGCTTTAGTTAATGTAACACCACATGGTGTTATATAGAATGAATATCTTTACTTCATTTTCAGATAGATGGAACAACTATTTTTTTATTTGAATGCATTTATGTGCATTATTTAAAAGTAATTCATTTAGACTCATAATGAATGGAGATCTCTTAATTATATAAATCATAAGCTTGAGAAATAATTTAACCCCGTTTTGATCTTGGATTTCTTTAATATAGTTTTCTAGTATGATGTTATAGTAGTTCCCATGCACGATAAGTAGTTACGGTGAATAGAGTTAGTTATTCAGATATATTTTTATTTTTAAAATACAGTAGTTAAAGATAGTTTATGGATACTAATAAATAATTATAATGACAAATGATTGTGGTGCAATTAATAATGATGATATGATTATTTTTTTAATTAAAAAGTAAATGTAAAAATTATTTAACTTGACTAAAAATTTAACTTAGGTTAGACACATTTTGTAAAATTACATTTACAAATAAATAACAACTCAAAATTTTTCCGAAGAGAATATTACGTTTTCAATTAATTTTTATACTTTGTTTAATTTTTCATGCTTAGTATTATTGTATGATATTTTCAGATAATTAAGGACTTGGTATAAAAAAAATAAAAATAAAAGAGGATATGATAATATCTCATAATAATATCACCATTGTAATTTAATATTAGGGTTAAGAAATGTGATTCGAGAAGGGGTTGATAGGTAAATTATTTAAATATATTGATTTGAAAAAAAAAATCAATAATATTATATTTCTTTTATTTATTGAAAAAATTTAGGAAAAAAATATGTTATTTTTTTAATTATTTTTTCTAAAGATATATTATAAAAAATTTGATTAACTAATACCAATAAAAAAATATTTAAATTAAATATTATATTTTTAATCTATTATATAAAATAATGTATATTAAAGATTATATTATTATTTTAAAAATATTTTTTATTTTAATATTACTTATAAAAATAAATTATAAAATATAGATATGTTTATTTTATTAATAATTATTTTATATAAATTTAGTTTCGCTTTTATCTTTTATAATTTATTTATATCTGCTTTGTGATCTCTTCCCTTTCATCTATACAATACCCTTTTTCATTCTCTTTCTTTCTTTTCATATTTTATTTTATTTTTACTTCTTCTTATCGGCCTCTCAATCCATAGGCAACATTAACTCCTTGCAAAAACTCACGTGGCTTTGACCATACTACGACTTGAAACTTGGAAGCAGGGGAAAGGTCAAACCGGCCCTCTCTCTTCTATCTTTTGGAGCCCTAATCCTTTTCTTGCTCCCACTTTCGAAGCTGTAGCTACCACTGTAGTCATCCATTAACTGCAATTCCAAACAACCATTTCACTCCCAGTTCAAATTTCAAGGTTTTGCATTCTCACTTTCTTCTCCTTTCTTTTCCCGCTTCAATCTTGGGTCTCGCCACTTTTCAATTATTGATCAATTGGCCGCGTTCAGCTTCCTCCTCTGTTGCTCCAATTATCTATTTGAAGTAAGTAACCAAGGTTTTGCATTCTCTCCCATCATCACTTTGTTTGCTTTAATTTTCACTCATTGGAATTCTTAGTTTTCTGATCGTTGATCAATTTTGCACGATGACGAGGTTCCTCCTCTATATTGCTCTGGCAATCGATTTGAAGTAGCAAAACTTTTTTTTTTTTATATGTGAATTTTTGTTTTCTTTTGTCTTTTTTGCTAAATTAGTTACTCTCTGAGATCATGGTACCAATTGTTCTCTTAATTGGTAGTGAGTGACAGTGGGAATAAATTGTATGATATTTTCTTATTAGCTTTGTGAATTTTAATATTTAGGTTTTGGCCATTGTTTGCTCTTGTATTCAGTACTGTGTTTTGTGCCTGTGCTGAATTTTAGGTTTCTTGTTACCTTTTGTCTTCCCGTTACATTATGAGTTTTTGTTGGAGTATGTTTAATTTTAAGATGGATTGATTCTGATTTCAGTTGTGGTAATTTGGAAGCATCATGCCAGCGGTGCGGTGTTTCTTTCCCGAAGACACGGTAGAGCAGAAGTTACACATAGAGAGGAAGCTTGGTCGTGTGAAAGCACGCAAGTATTTTGATCTGCTGCAGAGATTTTTGAGTCTCAGAATTAGCAAAAGTGAATTTGATAGGATCTGCATAGCAACTATTGGTAGAGAAAATGTCCCTCTTCATAATCATTTGCTCAAGTCAATCCTGAGAAAAGCATTTCTCTCCAAGACAGCCGGACCAAGAAAAAATAAAGTAGAAAGTTCTTTAAATGTGAAAACACCGAATGGGTGTAGCAGTCTTCAATTTCTGTGCAAGGATTTACCACAGTCTCCTCGAAGAGGCCGGACTCCAAATTTGCGTGATCGCAGATCCAGGGACCGTCCTAGTCCTCTCGGTCCTCATGGAAAGAACAACAACTTTGGGTCTGAAGATTCAGCTGCAAAAATTCACGAGCAGCAAAGCATTGTCGATCTGCAATCCCCAGGGAGTAGACTATCTCTCCCTGTGGAAGATGAGGAGGAGGTTGACCAGGATTCTGAAATCCTGAACCTTCATAAAAGGGGTCCAATTGAAGCACCTCTGGCTATTCCAACTTACAATAGAAGACAGCAAAAAAATTTATCCAAAGGAGTATCACTTGATACTGTAAGTGATACCTGTCAAAGCATAGGTCACTTACCTGATGCATGTTATTTGACCAAAATGTTGGAGCAAAAATTGAAAGCAGAAGGATGTAAGATGTCTTTGGATGCAGCCAACTTGCTAAATAATGCACTTGATCTTTACCTCAAAAGATTGATAAAGCCCTGTTTGGATTTAGCTGCTTCAAAGTCTGTAAATAAGTTCAGTGCTTCAATCCAACCTGGTTTGAAGGAGCTGCCAGTGAGAAGGGGTGTGCAAAAGCCTATTGGATCTGCTTCTGTATCTATGTCTGACTTTAGAGCAGCAATAGAGTTGACTCCTAATATATTAGGGAAAGATTGGCCACTAAATTTGGAGAAGGTTTGTCTACGTGAATTAGAAGAATGATCCAAGACAGGCTCAACACTGCCGGCTATAGAATTAAATTCTCCTTAAAGTGGTGATACTGGAATACGTAAGTCTACTCTGAATCTAATATTGATTTTTCACTCAACATTGCTGACGTACTTTAGTGGAAATGCAAGAAGTTTTGATCTGGTGACTACAAGCTGTATAGGTTTCAGTGCTGACAAATTTGGTTTGGGACATTATGACATGTTAAAATTATTACCATAAGAATAAAGTTTACTTTATAGATGAGATCTCTTTTTGATATAGTTAGGTTATTTCTTAATTATATGAGGTTTTTTTTTTTTTGTGTGTGTAAAGCTCATTTTCAATCATTTCATTCCAAACATTCCGTTTTGTTCTATGTTCTGAATAGAACTAATGTATGCGTGACTATTAACTAACTATATAAACCGCAATTTTTTTTATTATTTTACATGTGTCGCCTTGAGATCTAAAGATTTAAATGGTCGTTGTAATAGTTCTATATTCAAGTTTTGATCATAATAGATTCATTAACAATATGACGGTTGGTAGAAGTGGTGTGATTCTTTCTGTCAGGGATTGAATTTCATGCAACAAAGCCAAGAAGTACAAATGTGTTTTATCTGTGCATAAAACATGAATTTACAATCAATGCCTTGATCTGGATTCCAAGCTATTGTTTTGGGTTTCCTGAATATTTTAGTTGTGTGTGATGGTCCAAGGTCTTTACCCTGTGGTTCGTTTATTGCATTTTATTTTTCTGATAGGCTCTTGATGGTCATGGTAAGACAGAAACTTTTGTGAAACTGCGACCGCAATCTCTGTTGTGTTCATGGGTTTGACAGGGTATGTTAGTTTTAAATTTTGTTACCATTATGTTGAAAGTTTTAAGGGTTTAATGATTAAAAGTTAAATCTATGGTTAGTTTTGTATAAATTAGTGTTTAGGCTGTCAATTAAATGTTTATTTTTATACAATTAAATTTGTATAAATTATGTTATGTTTAAAATTCAAAATAAGTAAATATCATTGAATATTTTGATTATATTTAATTTACCCTGAACAGTTTATATTGTGATATGAGATTATTTTTAATTGTTAATAATTTCTTTGAAAAAATATTGATATTTCAATATAGAATAAAGAGAAAAGAAGGTAGATTGTAATAAAGAGGTGGTCAAGAAGATCAAATATAAAAGGATGGTAGTTTGAGAGGGTTTTTTTGGCTCCTTGCCTTGACAGATTGATAGTGTGACGTAAATTGGATGATTTATCTTGTCGTGTTATTTTTGAGAGTATATGATACTCATATTCCATATGATTTGTGATCCATAAGTCTTAGCAACAATTCTCGACATGATTCTATGAGTTGTGGCTTGTGATGAATAATTTGACGTACAAATGAGCAGAATTAGGTGTGTACCCTATGGCCTTACCCGAAGTATTTATAGGCATTCTTTGTGGAATATATACTTGGGGACTAGTGAATATTTCTCACCACTTATGTGTTTTATATATATATGTCTTGGTTCTTGGTACTGTCAGCATATTGTAGTATCTTAAATGTTTTTTATTGAAAATTCGAAACGAATATGAATCTTCAAATGGAGCTTGCCATTGCACATATTTCACATATAAGGTGAACAACAAACTCCCTCCCCCAAACATTCAGAAGCAAGTACCGAATCATTCGCAAACGAATTTATTAACAACAACCCCATGCAAATTTAATTGCTCGCATTAAATTAGAACTTGCTTTCCCCCTAAACACATGCACAGTTTGCGACTTTATGTTGAATTAAAGCACAGAACAATCGGCACGAATTTTTCCATTTCTTGCAGTCTTGACTCCAACACGACCCAGTTTGGTAATAGCAGCAATGAAGTTAGAGTTGAAAGCGTTAGCATTAGAAGCAAAGGAATCAACGGTGTTCTTGGACCTTTGGTCAGTGAAGAGGATTTGGTCCGAGGTGAAGAGGCCCTTTCCTTGTTGGAGGTTTTGGTAATAAACATTGTCGAATCTTCGGGGAGTTGTTGGGTCCATGTTGATGGCAATCCTTGGATCCACGTTCCTTGGGCACATTTGTTGCAATTGGGTTGCGTATTGCTTGTTCAATGTTGGGTCCACCGGAGTTTGGCCATTGAAATTGTATATTCTATTCGCAAACTTGCTGCAGTGGGAGAATCCAAGGGTGTGTGCTCCTGCAAAATCACAATTAAGCACGTTGATTTAGGGAGAATAAAGTAAGTGTGCAAGACTACAATAACTATAAAGTAATTAACACTTTTGATTCAGATTTCAGATCTCAACCACGCTATCGTTTTCTGCCTTTGCAACTTGCATGCACTTCACTCACAAGCTTCGTTCTCGCTTTTCCATGTCTTTTGATTGAGTGGTTTCTGATTCACAAATGATTGTGTCTTATTGTATTTAATACACCAATCTCTTACTACTCCATTATTTATCTTTAGAGACTTGTTTCAGCTTTTATACGACAACATATTTTAATCATTGCATTATTTTCAAAAATAACAATTTTAATTTAAAAAAATATTCATTAATGATCAAATTTAGATGAAGGTCTTCATTTTTATGTCATCAATCGTGTTTTTTTTTAATTATAACAAGTCAATGTTTATTGAAATCTTCGTAATGAAAAAGACTATTTAAGGATTTTCACGTACACTTATTTAAATCCATTTAAGAATTAACTTTAAGGAAATTCATTCAAGTCTCAATAAGCTATTAGGTGAGTTGGATCTTGTCATAATTTTTACATTACTAATAGTTAAATGTTATTAAATTTTTTTCTCATATATTAAAACACAGTAGATATCACATAGATACCAATTACATCATATATACGTGTTGTTGGTCCCATATTAACCACTTCATAAATTCTCTACTTCAGCGTCTCTTTTTAAAGTTTCATAAACCAAACGATTTAAATGTGTACCATCCCCTCCCTCTTTTGCCAAACTATTACTAGATGTTACAAGATGATCACGGATTTATAGTCTAAACCGTAAAATTCAATTAAATATGAAGTATAGATTAACTATGAACATGATGGGCAAACCTTAATTATAATAAATTCTCCCCTTCACCCACCTCTTTAGTTTTTTTGTTAAAGTTTCATTAACCAAACGGTGCTATTTGGCTCGTGAATCATTATCTCCTCATGTGACCAAAACATAAATGAGTGTATACTATGTCAAACACCCTAATAAGGCTCATATGTTAATGGGAACCATTGTAAAAAACAGTTACAAGGGCATTACCTGAGAGAGCAATCATATCAGTTTGGGTGAGTCCGTTTGCAGCAAACAGGGAATTGAGCTGGTTCAAATTGAAGGTTGGTTGTGGAAGCCTTCCATTTACATCAGAAGCTCTTGAAACTAACCCATCAAACCTTCCCAATTCAACCGTATAGGAAGGTCCACCAGACTACACCACACAGTTATATATTAATTAATTCACTTTAATAATCAATAGATAAATACAATAAACTATATACTTTATAAACTACAGTTTGTATTGAGAGTATACAATTATTTTTTATGTACACAAATTGGAGTTATTGAAGAACTAACCAGTACAATAACATCACGGGTAGCCAAGGCTAGAATATCAGCACAGGAGACTTTGTTCCTGCACTGAGGGACAGCATCTACTGCAGCTTTTGCCTTGATCACCGTGTCAAACCCATCCCCCGCCAATGAAAGATTGTCGGGGTGATCCTTCTCAGCTTGGTTGTTTCCAGTGGATGCCACCAAAACAGAACCGTCACAACCCTTTATGCAACACATACCACACACAACAAAATTAACAACAGCATCCATGACTACAACAACAAATGGTCACATCAACTGTGAATTGTCAACCAAGTGAGTTTTCATCAAAAGAACTTGTTTCTCGACTGCGATCTCTTTCACAATGCCAAGAATTTTAGACGTTTTGCAAAGTGACTGCAATACTATAAATATAAAAAGTGAGTGATCAAATTTACGTTGGAAAATCACCCTCTTTTTACTAATTCTGGTACCCCTAAATATCAGTGGCGAACTTTTCGAAAATTTATATTTTGGTGAAATTTTTGTGCGAGTGCAGTAATTGGCCTTAATGGGCAGGGAATCGATTCAGGGATTTATTTACCTGGACAAAGCAATCATGAAAGAAGAGACGAAGGGTGGCAGGAACAGTGACAAAGGTTTGTTGGAACTTCTGAGTAACTACCTGTCTAACGATGCTTTCGAGATTGGGGCAAACGTTGGCATAGTGGTTTGGACTAAGCTGGGCAGAGGTTGGGTGTAGATTATAAAGGGACAGTGTTAATGAGAGCGACCAGACAAGTAAGAGATTAACCCGACCCATTTACTATGTTTTGCAGAGGAAGATAGACAGAAGAGGATAATGCAGAGTGTTTGTGACAAAGGGGTACCGAGTAAGGTGTTTAAGAGGGAATATATAAGAGCAACCAAGTTAAGCTAAGCGTGGGACATGGCTCACGAGGCAGCCAGTTGTCTTGGAATCTTTTCAACGTTTGTGTGTTTTTACAGCAATTAGGAAAATAAAATTTTATTATTGTTACTATTATTGTTTGAACAAACAATAATGGTAGGCTCCGAAAGGGACACTGTTAAGGTTTTGTGTGTGGTCGGTATGTGGCCGCCTTGTTCCATTCAAGTAACTGCGTGCTAAGTACAAAAAAAGCTTTAATCTTTGTCAAATATGAAGTGCTTCCAGATAGGAACTGGGAAGGGGATTATTTTATTTGTCATGGGAATCCTCAATTCTTAATTTCTTCTAAAAAGTAGTTGTCCACAACAAAGCTAAAGAAAACTTTTCATAGAGACAGAAATGGGAAGAGGCTGCTAAAATATAGAGCACGAGATGAATCTGTAGGAGTAGATGAGTTCACGTCGAGGTTACTTTCCTTGGGTTTCCTTCCCACAAATAAATAAAGTTTCTATTTTCTCTTTCTCTCAGTTCCAGTTTTCTGATAAAGTGTGTACCAACACGATGTTGAAAAATATTCATGCGCCCATGGTTTTAACCAATCATCAAATCTAGTAGAAGAAATGTCATGGCATTCGCAACAGTAATGATGAAACTATGAAACTCTGGTGTTGGCTTTATAGGGAACCGATCTAGGATTCTCAAGGAAAAAAAATTTCAAGTAAAAGAGAAAGCAAAACTTATGTAACGTATTGTATTGATAACTGATTGATTGTTGTATTTTCATTTGAAAGTGAGCAATGATACACTGAATTTTCCATAACTTAATTTTATTTGATAGGTTAATTATAGAAGTTGGTATGTAGATATGGTTTGACCTTGGAGTAGACAGTGGTCGATTCTGTAGAGTTGGGCAGCATTGTTTTATAAAGAAAATTGGGCAGAATATGAGGAGAATCTTGGGAACATGTGATGAGAAAAAAGACATTCAGCATTTGCAGAAGGAGAAAACCCATGTTTGCTCATGCAAGATTTGATCCGTGATTACTATAATGGAACTGTACTTATGTGACGTTTCTCTTCCTCTCTATATTCATAATTAGATCCAAAATTCACTCTAATTAAAATTTCATTTTTTTAATATTAAAACTTTATTGTATTTCTTCAATCCAATATTTATGGTATGCATGTTAGATGGAATTAATTTATGAATAATATTAAATATCAAGTTTTGTATGTCTCTCTATTCTTAAAAAGTTGAGAACGAGTAAGTTTGCTTAACGTGCAATATAAAACAAAAAAGTTTTAACATGTATTAATTAGTTTTAGCATTTTGTACTTTGAAAACAAGAAAAAAAAATGACTTGTCTTAGGTTACACTATATGTAATGTGACTCGATTGAAGAAGATTCATCAAAGAAATGAAAAAGTAAGCCTTTATAAATCAAATGAACTGGAATATAAAGCTTACGTAGGTGTTATATTTTTTTTTTAAGAGAAAAAGACACTAGCATAAGTACATCAAATCCCTGCAAAGCTATCTAGACAACTAAAAACTACATGTAACATCTTCATACATTTAATTTAATGTTAGACAAGAATATTCTTCTTTCTTTTAGAGTTTTAGTTTACCATACAACTTTTAATATTCTATATCTGTCTACATTGATATCTTTCAACCATAAAGAAAGAAAGAGAAAAGGGGAAATTAAGTGAAGTAAAAAAAAAAAAAAAGAACTCTTAAATTTGGACCATATTACTAATGATTAACATTGCGAAAATTAAAAGTTGGATAGTAATCATATATATGATAACCATGTGAGTAAAGCTTAAAGGTAATATCTTGCATCCAAAAATTTTCTTTATACTTAGTATGTGTCCTTTAAAGCAATTATGTAATTTGTTTTGGGGTGTCTTATCCTCTAACTATAGTGTTATTTTCTTTCTTATTGAGATGCTCTATACCCATAAAATAATGCTTCTAGGGCAATTATTAATGGCCAAGTGTAGAAACAGACATTTATCACTACAATAGGAAATATGATGTAATAGAAAATCTGTGGAGGACAATAATATGAAATTTTTTTTAATATGGTTTACCTGTTCAACATTAAATAACATGGGATGAACTGTCGGTGATTATTATTAAACAATTTGTAAGCGATTACTTATTTTATTTTTATACTGTTTTGGCATAACACAAGCTTTATAAAGATCATGATTCATGTTAGAAAAAAGTTTTTGTCCTATTTGTTAAACTTTTTTTCTAGTTTTTTAAATTAATTAATTAATTCAATTCTCTAACGATAAAAAATTAGTAAGAAAAAACCATATTTATACAACATAATTTTAATATTTTTTTATTTAATAATAATTTATTATTATTATATGTTTGTTAAAAAATTAAAATTTATAGTTAAAAAAAAAACATGATTCACAATCGTATCTGTTATGAACGGCGTGCTCTGAACATTGCACATGTCTGTACACACCACCAACAACCGAGAAAAAAACCATTCTGTACACTCTTAAAGTTGTCAAGAAATTCAAAAATAAAAATAAAATAGAAGAAGTCAAGATGCAAGTGTGTTTTACCTGAAAATGATTTTAAGTCTGTCGTATAGCACATGATTTTTTTATTCTTCCACATAATAAATAAAAAAATATTACTTTTTTATATTTTAGTATTTTACATTATTTCAATTTGACGATGATAATTAGGATTACCGTCATTTGTTTTGGTGCTCAAATTACAATTTTGTATTATATTTGAAACATTTCTCACCTTGATTCTTAAAAAATGATAAAAATTTTGTGCATAAAAAAAAGTATAGAGAAGAATAAGCAAAGTGATTAATGATTAGGATAATTAACAGTGACTCCAAAAGGTGAAGGAAGATTCAAATGAGGTACGCTCCCTCGCGTGGAACTCCTTTCAATAATTGGCTGCTCATGCACGTAATCTAATCTGGTTCTTAACTTTATCTTTGACTTTTCCTCTCCTTTCTCTCTTCTTCTTCCACTGTTTCACCTCTTTCTCATTCCCCCATTTGGTGCAACTTCTTATCCAAATTCCCTTGTGGGGACCTGTTACTATCATCTAACATCATTTTCTTTATGCATTTTTATCTGCTTTAACCCCTTTTTTCCCCTAATGCTTGGTTTATAATTATAGCAATAACTTAAACTTATTCATCTCAACTGCATTTAATAAACAACAAAAGAAATTAAAACCTTCCAAATAAATCATTGAGTAATTCTTACACTTACCTAACATGTTGCTTTTGGACTTCTCATAGTAGAAAAATTGCAACTTTATGGATTTGCGTCTATAAAAGAATAGTCTTGCATCGCCTTTGCTAAATGTTGTTAATCTCATATTAAACAGCCTTAAACAAATATCGTATAAAATACTACTTGTTTTTATTTATCATCATCAACACTCGATGTTATCTTACAAATAAAATATGAAACAATAAAATAATAAAAAATTGTCAAAATGTCCAATTATTATTGCTTAGACCTAATTTATTATACAACTAAAAAATATAGTCTTTCTCTCTTCTATTTTTGCCAGATTCTTTTCAAGATTATACCAGATTAATTTTTTCACAAATTAAGAAAATAATAAATAAAAAATAGGATGTTTGAGTGCTTAATTTTGTTCAATTCAATAAAGTAAAATATAAAAGTATGTTTAAGAAAACAAAATTAGTCAATTTTTCTTTATGTTAGACACTATGAGAAATGTCATATATCTTGAGATATACTAGTATCTTGAGTATTTTTCTTTCTCTCTGTTTAATTTACTTTTTATTATTATTTTTTTCATTTTGTAACTTTTCAACAAAGATATTTTATGTTTTAGAAGTACTTCTACAAATTGAAACAACAAAAAAAAGTTTAATGATAGTTATTTCAGGTATATTCTGTTCGGTTTCAATTTATCAAAACATTTTATATAAAAAATTAAAAATAAAATGTTCAAGAATAGTCTTTTTTTAGATTCAGTTTAGTTATTGTGAAAACTTTGCCGGTATTACTTTGTTTTTACATAAACTGAAACACTAGATTTGTAATTGATATAATAATTGATTTAGACCTAATAGATAAAGACTTTATTGATAAATAAAGTGGTGGATGAAAAAGACCAAATTTTGGAGTATTGTGTGACGTTGAATTGAGGATGGGAGACTAACTTTTAAGTCATGATAATGAGGATGTGGCGTTCTAATCATCACTATATATATATAATAATAATAATTATTATTATTATTTATTATTATTATTATTATTATTATTATTATCATCGATTATCATTAAATATAGAATTTTAAATACATTTTCTTTTTATGTTACACCAAAACTATCATTAATTAACAACACGTTCTAAAAATACACATTTAAAAATAGTGAAATGAAACAAAAAGAATATTAAAATATATATACCTTGGTTTAGAATATTTAAATCTTATTATTTCAGTATTTTTAATTGTTTAAATTTTTTTAGTAAAAATATACTCTCTTTCTAAAAGGGTGCAATAACTGCAAACCTTTTAAAAAAAAACATGTCTCAAATTTAGTAATATTTCGTTTTAAAATAATAGTGTTTTTTTTTGTGGTTGGGAAAAAAACATGAGATTGAAAAAGATAATTTGTTTAATAAGTGAAAAAAATTGTGTGTATGTGAAATAGGTGTTATAATCCTACAATGTATTTTAGACATTGGTAATTAATATTTTGATACTTTTTAAAAACTATGTCAATTTTTTATTATTTTCAATGTACTTCTTTATTTATAGATTCTGTACTTTTTTTTTCTTTTTGTATATTACTTCAATTTATTCTTTAAATTATTTCCCTGACAGTATATGTAATTTAAAATATTTTGATAAAACTGACAAAATTTAAATGTATTCAAAATATAAATTATTCAATAAAATCTAAGCTATGTAAATTTAAATTTAAATACTTTTGTATTTTATTAATTTCACTGTAATAAAATACTCCATTTTAAAATTCCATTTCACTTTTTATCATGCTAATTTATCTAAATGTTAAAATTGATTAAAGAAAGAAGTTAATCGTTTATTTATTAATGTATGAAAAAAACGTTTATGACAGCCTAAAATGATTTACATGGTTCCTATTACAAAATCATCGTATATAATAAGTTTGTTAATTTCTATTATATTTATTTTAAAAGTAACAATTAAAATAATTTATAATTAAAAAACGCTATTACATTCAAAATTTTAGGTTATCAATAAATATAATAAAAGTATTAAATTGTTAATGTATGGAGACACTCACGCCATCAACGGTGATAAGAGAAACAAGTGTCCAAAAACAACATAAGGATAGTTCAAAATGATTATGGTTTTAAAATTATTGTATTATTTTATATCTTGATATCTGGCATGAGAATGACTTAATCAATAAACCCGTATCAATGCTCCAAGTACAGCAAATGACCGTTATTTATTACATGATTACATGGATATATATATATATATATATATATATATATATATATATATATATATATATATATATATATATATATTGATTTCAAGAAGAACTAAAAACCGTTTATTTTAAATAACTATATATTAATTTACATCACAGTAGTACCTGGCATGAGCGTGACTTATTAAATAAACCACTACTATTAACCCAGAATGTTATGTTATAATTACACAAACTAATAACAATGAGATTGAGTTTAAAAGAAAGTGTGTTTTTTTATAAAATAAAATGATGATTAAAAAATAATAGATAAAATATTAAAGATGCTTAATTCAGGCAATGAAAATAATTTACTAAATTATGTGTTTAATTTCAGGCAATGAAGATTTATTTCCTACGAATTTTATTAGAAAGTATAATAATACACCTTCCTACGAATTTCAATTCAAACTGTCTATTTATTAACTCCTTAATTGGTAGGTTTAGAACTCCGTTTAGTAGGACCTTAAAAATTAATAAATATATTAAATTGGTCACCCATATTTAAAAATATCAAACATGTTTCAATATAAAAATTTAGCAAAAATGTTTCATAACTCAAAATTTTTAAAATAGAATAAAAATAATATTTATAAAATAATTTAGAGTAATCACCAATAAATATAATTTAAGTCGTTAAAATATTTTAATAAATCTTTAAAATAATAATTTAAATGAGAAAAATAGTTATATTTTTATCTAGATTTCAAATAATAATTTTTTTATAGAATAATTATCTAATATTTATAAAAAAATTGTTTTATATATATAATACCGTGTATTATATTAATTTAGTTATTATATCCGAGTAGGTGTATGTTTAGTAAATTTAATAGTGTGTAAATTGTTTTCAAATTTGATTTCTTCTTCACAAAAGAAAGAAAGAAAAAAAAAAGTATGAAAGAGTTTTGCCTAAAAAGAAGTATAAAATTATGACTAGTCCTCATGCTCGCACATATACATCGCTAACAAAGAGAAAAGTATGGTATTTTGAAGTCAATACTAATTATTGTTTCGGGGCCTATTATGAGAAAAATAATCTCCGATAACAACTTTTACTTATTTTAATGATTTTTGAATTAGGATAAGGAGAGATGAGTCTACATATTTTAAATAGCGTATATGTGTGTTTGGAAATAAAATGTTGTACTCACAATATTGTAATAATAAAGAGGACAAAAATGTATCAATTATTAACGAAAACGAAGGAGAAAGTGTATCAACTTTGCCAGCTATGATGTTAATAAACTACACTCTTTTACTTGTCCCATTGATGTTGACAAAACCAATAATTAAACATTATCATTTATTCTAAAGCAATTTATCATATAACTGCCCTCCAATTGAAAGAAACACAAGAACCTCTTCCTAGTTTTTTAAGGATTTATTTGAGTTTTTCAAAATGTTTTGCTTCGTTTTTAGAAGACTATCATTTTTCATATAATTCCCGTGCTTAATTAAAATAATCAAACCAAAATACCTTTCTATCATTTAATTAAAACGAGTCAAGTTTACGAGATACACAAGGTATGGTGTGTGTATGTGAGAGAGAAAACAAGTAGGTTTTTAATTTGAGTGATTTATTCACCTAAAAATATATTTTCAACTCATAATTGTCTTTTCCCACTCCTTCTTTTTTTCCTCAAACCATTTAATGCTAGTCTTGTTCTCTAACCCCCCTCTTCCAAATTCCAATCTAGCTTAAATTATTCACATTTTGACTTGTCTTTAATTTTAAACCTAAGTTTGTACTTTAAGTTTACACTTTAAAACCCTATTTGGACTTTAGAAATTACGATCCTTGCTTTCATTCACTTCCTATATATTCTGGGTGTGTGTGAGTTTTTTTAGTTGAGTGTTAGAGACTATAGGTATTTGTTTTTTTTTTTTTTTCTTCTGTTCTTTGCACCTTTTTTAAATATTTTTTGTTTTGGTTTCATCTTTCATGATTGTAAATTTGATTTATATGTGATTTTTAATTTGATCAGTGTATGATTTTCACCTTCATTTTCTCAAACTCAATTGAGTCATTAATTATATGTTGGAAAATTAATAATAATAATAATAATAATCTTAATTTTGATTCTAACGATCAAATATAAACATAATCCCATACTCGATAAACATCGTTATGAACCGAATGCGAGCGTACACTGAATTAGCCATAATGATGATGTCTTTGTAGAACACTATATTGATCTTATGGTCTTCCACCTGAAGAACACCTGTATTTCCCTCTTGATTTTCTCTCTTGATGGGGATAGAAAGAAATGAACAGGAATGAAACTTACGTTCTGTCTACGTGCTCCCAGAAGGGAACCATGACCATTTAGATAACCAGAATTAGGTTAATTATTTAAGTTTTAGTATTTCCAATTTGGCCCCTCATCAAATTAGAAATTGCTCTATGGTCTCTACACAATTTTATTTTCAT